AAACAAACCCCACCAATAATATCCCGATAAACTCGCAATATTATTTAGGAAAAAAGCAACATTTTACTCACTAACTTTTCTTGAAAAGTCCGTCTTGAAAATGGCCTTGACAGTAAATCTATCCACCAAATCAATGTCTTCTCCTTCAGCCACTGTGAGGTAATAAAATAAAATAGCTATCACACCAACACAACTATATTTGGGTTAGCTTGCTAGCTTTAGCTGGTACGCTATCTGACTGTCCAATCAGCAGGAAGAGGGCCAGAGGGCCCTGGTGTCACCAACAACCCGGCATCCGTGGAACATAATATTTCTCGCTACAGCTAACAGAAGCTAATTAGCAGCAAGATGCCTCCCTTTTCCACAGATGATTACCACAAACTGCTCCGGAAGATAGCAGTACTGGAAACAAAAATTCATCGGCTCGAAGTCAACGTGGAGATAAATGGACACTATGGAAATGAAACTACTCTGCCAATATCCCAAAACACTGAAAGGGAACAGGCTAACAGAAAGCTAACTAGCACCACCAAGACATGGCAGGAGTCAGGTATAAATGGCAGTAAAGCAACCTGTCCTCCCTGGAACTCTCTTGGTGCAAAGCAACAGAAAGGAACAATGGACCGAAGCTACTACAAAAACGAAGAGCACATTACCCCAAGACAGGGATTCTACTAGAGAACAGATATGCTCCACTTTTACATATCCCTGACTCCCCAAAAGTAGGCTCATCTCCCAGCACCAGAGAAAGGTACGAGGCTAAATCATATGCTACAAGGCTACCGAAAGAGCTAACCACTGGGCCTCAAACCCTGATAGTGGGTGACGGAGCTGTGAATGAAATAAAACGATTTCGCACCAAGAAAAACACCAAAGTACTTTGTTTTACCAATGACATGGTGTCTGATATCGCAAAGAAGATCCTAAACATTGCTGCTGAGCATCCGACTCTGAAATCTCTCATCATACACACAGGAGCCCTTGATGTTGTGAAGCAACAATCGGAGGTATTAAAACGAGACTTTATCGATCTCACGAACAAAGTTCGGTGTTTAAATACTGTGGTGTTTCTCAGTGGAGCCCTACCGATAGTTCGGCGAGGAGTCGAGAGATTCAGCAGGCTGATGATGCTAAACAGATGGCTCAAAGACACGTGTGCCGCTCAATCAATGAACTTTATTGACAATTTCAACATCTTTTGGGGACGCAGGCACCTCTTTAAGGCAGATGGATTTTTCCTTAACTCATTGACTGCCAGCCATTTTCAGAACAGAGTCCCATACTGCCAGAGATTTTTGAGCATTTTGACTGATTTTTCAAGAGCCACAGAATAGTTTGTGCTATGACTATGTAAACAACGAACACACCAAAAGAAAGAGTAGACTCTCTTCTTTCATCGGGAAAAAAAACGTGTTTCTACCTTATTCCGTTCTTCCTCGACTTGCGTCTCACCGGCGCCATTTTTCGCATAGCGAACCACTGCTTTTTTTTAAATTTGCCTACAGTCTATACTCATCTCCCATCAAAAGTGGCACTGCCCCCTAGAGGGTCAATTTGTTACTACATACTCTGTCTGGAAGCCGATATTTATGGAAAAACTTTAGCCGATCGTCCCCCAAGCCACTCTCGTTGAAAAACATAAAAAGACGTCTATAGACGTCTTTGGCAGCCAATGAGTTAACAAGTCAGGAGTACAGCTGTTAGGCTCCAACATTTTTAATTCTCTGCGTCAGACACCAGCAGCCCCTGTCAAGGACAAGAGGCAAGACAAGCCAAAACAACAGATATGGTGAGGACGCTGAGATAAGGACTGACCATGGAGGACATCAGATCCGGAAAGAACCTGCAACAACATCATCCTCACCCCAACAAGAGGAGTCTCACTCAGCCCCAACAGGACACTCCCCCAGACCCCACCCACTCCCCAACTCTCGCCACTCAGTCCGGACTCCCCACTTCTGGATTTCACCGACAAGATGAAGAGCCTTGTCAATATTGGAATTAGGGGTGGGACGGTTCACGAAATCCACGGTTCGGTTCGATTCACGGTTTCGTGGTCACGGTATATGTTGATTGTTTGGAAAATCTATTATGTCTTGTATAGTCAGGTTAAAAGTGAAAGAAAAAAGCAGTCTGACTTTTGATACATTACTGTGACAGTCTTAGGTTAAAAGTAGGTGAGATTCTGGCATTGCAAGCGAGGAAACAGTGCTAATTCCAACATGTGCTTCCCTCTAAATGCAAAGTGGTCCATACAGCAGAATATAAACTGCTGTTGGTTCGTCTGATTTTTATCGGCTACGCTGCTTCGCTTCTTCTTCTTGTTTACTACTGGTGGTTGGCTTTGGGCGCTCTTTACATTGGCTCCCAGTCAGCTACAGAATAGATTTTAAAGTTCTGCTACTGGTTTATAAATCACTGAATGGTTTAGGTCCAGTATACATGAACGACGTGTTAGTAGAGTATAAACCCAGTAGAGCTCTGAGATCTACTGACTCAGGTCAGAAAGTGGAGCACAGAGTTCAAACCAAACACGGTGAAGCAGCGTTTAGCCGTTATGCTACACACGACTGGAACAAGCTACCAGCAGAACTCAAAACAGCCCCAACTGTAAGCACTTTTAAATCCAGGTTAAAAACATTTCTCTTCTCATGTGCTTATGGCTGAGCTTTTTAAAATATTTTTTAAATATGTTCTTTTTAACATTGTAATCTTGGTTTTGCAAAAGCACTGGAACTGTAACAAACATATTGCTTTGTCCTTTGTTCCTGCTTTTAACTGTGTTTTAACCTTTTTAAAAAAATTGTTTGTTTGTTTGTTTTTTTTATTCTGTTTTATGCTGTTCTTTTTTATTTAAAATGTCTGCGCTATATAAATAAAAATGCCTTGCCTTGCCTTGCCTTAAAATCTGATTGATTAAAGCAACAGTTTAATCCACTTTTATTTTCTGTTAGAGGGCAGAACGGATTGTGAAGGCCTCCAGGCAGACATCTTTGACTATAACTCTGCCTAGCAACAAATGATGGCTGTAATGTGATTGGTTAAATGCTTTAATACAAAAATGCATGTCTGGAAGCAACACAACCAGGGGAAAAGCTACGAAAGGAAGCGGACAGACCATTTGGAAATATTTAATAAGTATTCATGGACAATATATATATATGAACGAATCTTTATTGTCATTGTCACATGAAACAACGAAATGTAAAAAAAGTGCCATCAATCAGTGCCTATGCCCACAATTTACACACGATTTAAGAAATAGATAACAAATAACTGATTAAAAAATTAAAAAATTAAAAAATTAAAAAATTAAAAAATTAAAAAATTAAAAAATTAAAAAATCAAAAAAACAAAAACAAAAAAACAACAACTAATAAATAAGAATAACACATTCTCACACACATCATCCATGATGATTAATGGTTATTTTGGTTGCATTTAGTTTTGTTATTGCTATATATATATATATACAAACTGGATGATAGATACATCTCAGAATTACACAGAAATCAGCAATCACAAGCTTCCAATTGGACATTAGTGCCGCTGTTTTCCTTCATGGATGAAGAGAAATCAGACTGTAGGTGAGAAGTGCAAAACACATTTACAATTTAAAAAACACCTTATGATTTAAAAAAACTAAATAAAATTTTAAGATACACATTTAAAGTTCAGAAAACACATTTACAAATGAAAAAAACATAACATTTTAATAAACAATTTTTTTCAAAAATGTTTGTCTCCTAAAAAATGAATTTGTTTCTTAAAATGCTATATTGTTTTTTCATTTGTTCATGTCAACGATTTGGGAATAAGCAGTTCACAAAATGGATGGATGTGTTTCTTTAATTGTGAATGTGTATCTTACAATGTTATTTTGTTTTTTAATTTTTCAACGTTTTTTTTTTTTATTGTAAATGTGTTTTGCACTTCTCAGCCACCGTATTAACCCGACCCGTTTAACTCCTGCTCCCGCAGGTTTTCTCCCCTGAGTCCGGAGCGATGGGCCTCTGCCGCCACCTGCTGCCCCCCCCGAAGCTCTTCAGGGGGCTGCTGGTCCTCAGCGTCCTGGTCACGCTCATCGTGCTGAGGGTCGGCTACAGAAGGTGGGAGGAAACCCCCATCCAAACAGACACTTCATCAATGTATGGCTGCATTTAAACTGATATTCCATTAATATTTGGCCTCATTAACTCAGATATTTCATTAATATTTGGCCTCATTAACTCAGATACAGTGTTTGTTTTTCATGTTTGGCTGCATTCACTCAGATACAGTGTTTGTCTTCTGCATTTAAACTGATATTCCATTAATATTTGGCTGCATTAACTCAGACACAGTTTTTG